GGGGGGGGGGTGGAACACAAGAAAATGTAGTGTTTTGTAGGGAAGAATGCAACACTGGCATGCAAAGTGACATTAGGTGACTTCTTTTACGTTGATCAGAGCTTGCAGGCAAAGGAATATAGTGATGTATTTAAGTGACTTGCTGCAACATTAATCTGGAGAAGGCATGTTCCTCACTCTAACGTATCATTTAAACAGTGTCCGGTCTTGCAAGTGCAAAGTTAGAAGGTTCTTTCCGTATGAAAGATAATTCAGAATAGACCCTTCTCACTGCTCCTTCATCTCACATCGGGATCTTGTACTTTTTTTCTTGCACATGAAGCAGAAATTATCAGTATGAGGGTCAGTTTGTTACTGTTCCAGCCATTTAAGTCTAGACTTGGAAAATATACCAAAAAATGTATGGTGCAAAAAGGAACAATCCAGTATCAGCCAAGAGAAGTTAGATTAGGACAACCTGCCATACATTTATTTATTTAGATTTATACAAAATGCAGTAAATGAGCACTTATCTAGCTCTCTGCCAACTCTTGATTATTGTTTAAAAGTACAGTAATGTAAACCAAACTGGCAGTTTGTCATATTATGTGTTATAATGTAATAATAGATATTTAGTAAACAGTTTACTTCAGCAGTGAATATACAATTCTATTTTATTTTTACTTCAGCAGTGAATATACAATTCTATTTTATTTTTAGCTTCCATGAGTATGTTCAGAATTTCTTGCTTACGCTTACTGGAAACAGGTACAGTAATGCCACCAAGTTACAAATAACGAATTGCCATGGTAGGGTGAATTATTAATGCCGTGTATGGGTTTGACGATTTTATTTTTTTCACAGTTCAAAAATTATCCATGAATCATGTTGTTTACCCCATAACTTAGCATATAAGTTATCCTGATAGCAGTCTTTGTACCATCAACTGTTATTAGTTTGACATGCATTATATCATTGTTTTGAACATGTCCACCAATGATTAGATTAGCAATAACATAGTCAAGGAATCTCCGCTTTTTTTTATCCTCTTTATTTTAATGTGGAAATCTTCCTGAAACAGGGGTTTGGGTAGCAGAATTTTGAAAAATTGTTGTTATTACAAATGTCATGATGGAAAAGCTTTATCAAAGAGGAAGGCTCTGCAGTATATGCTAAAGGTTAACAGACTCTGTCTCTCTTACCTGCACGGAATTTGTTCTTCCATCAGATTCCCTTGTCTGAGAAGACCAAATCTGTTAAGAACAAAATTTGTATACTTATTTCTGATATGGGACCTGTAAGTTTTAGCTGTGGACAAGTCTATTGTTTTGCTAAGAGGTGCCTCAGAGAGATTACATTCCACATAAGAGTGTAAACAAGTACATATAACATCGAGTCAGTGAGAGAAATGCTTGTGGCGTGATGCACCCTTTGATTTGATTAGTAATAATGTATCATATACTCTTTGTTCATCCTATAGTCAACATTAGAACCCACATCAAGAATGTACGACTGTGTGACCAAAAGTGACAATTCCTTCTCCTTAAAGGTTAACAGATAGGTTATAGTCTTATCTGAGATTTTAGTGTTCCTTACAAATGTAATGAATTTACAAGCTTCCAGAATTAAACCTAAAAAGAAAAAAGTCTTTCTAAAGACTAAACGGCATCCAGTATAATAGTGGATGAGGTCTCAGTGACAGAGCACTGAACTATATTGTCCTGATTCCGTTCTTATATTATATCTTTCTCTGTAAGTGCCAACATATGAATATATTACCTTACTGCAATGTGCTTCAAATATGCCAGCTTTCTAACCTTCCTGATTTCAACTGGTCACGTAACAGGTTCCATCAGTGTAGGACAGCCTTAATAAAGACTCTCTCTCTGTTTACATTCATCAAAATGACCTGAGTGTTGCTAAATTCAAACTTTTTAAAAACATATTTATTGAACTTGTGTTTGTCAGCTTAGCAACCCTAAAGGAATCCCTTTCTTCCAACGGCCTTTCCAATCTCCTTATGTAACGCTCTTGCATGACAGCATCTATTGGCAAGGAGGAAGCTGCCAAAAGGAACATTTCCTGCTCTTTGGTTAGAAAGAAAAGGCTCCTGGTTCCTGCTCTCTTAATTTGATCACTTTATGTATGTGTGGGAAGAAACAATGAGCGGTCTATCTGTTCGTGCTCATTGTGAATTTCTAGCTCTCTATCACAGAAAACTCAACACAGGTGGAAACCATTCCATACCTCTGATCATACTTGACCTGCTCTATACCTTTTCCAATTTCAGTCTACTCATTTTCAGATGAGAGTGATCAGCACTGCATTCAAAGTGTGCATAAATGATAGATATATGTAGTGGAATAATTATTCTTTCTGTTCCCCTTCTAAAAATGCCTAACAGTGATGTGCTTTTTTGACTGCAGTTGAGCACTGAGCTAATATTTTCATGACACTGTCTGTCACAACATCAGGAGCTTTCCAGTGATGGTCAGTTTGGAGACCTTCATTTTCTTTATCGAGCCAGAATTATTTTTCCTGTTGTGCACTTTGCATTTATCCACACTGAATTTCATCTGTCATTTTATTGTCCAATTACTCAGTTTCATCCTTCTGCAATTCCTCACACTCTGCTCTTTTCCTTACTATCT